TGACATGCTGGTAAGCAGTATGACTTGTATCGCCCACAACTCACTTGTGTTCTACTCATGCATATGACATCTACGCATAAAACCAGGCTCGGATGCCACTGTTGGGGAACGTAGTAATTTCAAAAAAATTCCTACGCACACGCAAGATCATGGTGATGCATAGCAACGAGAGGGGGAGTGTATGTTCATACCGTTGAAGATCGCTAAGCGGAAGCATTTGTCAATGCGGTTGATGTAGTCGTACGTCTTCACGATCCGACCGATCCATGTACCAAATTCACGGCACCTCCGAGTTCTGCACACGTTCAGCTTGATGACGTCCTTGCCTTCTCGATCCAGCAAGACGGGTGAAGTAGTAGATGAGTTCCGGCAGCACGATGGCGTGGTGACGGTGTTGGTGAAGAACAATCTCCGCAGGGCTTCGCCTAAGCACTACGGAAACTATGACGGAAGATAAACTAGAGAGGACGGGGTTGCCGGCACATGGCTTGGTGTTTCTTGATGTGTCTTTGGTGCTAGCCCTGCCCCTCTATTTATATGTTGAGCCTTGGGGTCGAAACTTGGAGTAAAAGCCTCCACAAAGTCGGTTTCACCCGAAAGGCAAGAGTCCTTCTCGGACTCCATGGCCAGACGCCAGGGTTCCCAGCGTCTGGACCCAGAGGCCAGGGACACTGGCGTCTCGCCCCTGGACTCCGCAAAACTTCCTTTTGCGCTTTCCAAAAACCTTGTGGGCTTTCCCCTTTGGCCCAAATAACGTGTTCTCATACCCAAACATTTTGGGAAACATCCGGAACTCCTTCCGGTGAATTCCGGAACCTTTCCGGAGATTAAACACTACTATCCACATATCAATCTTTACTTCCGGACCATTCCGGAGTTCCTCGTCATATCCGTGATCTCATCCAAAACTCCGAACAACATTCGGTCACCAACATACATAACTCATAGTACTATATCGTCAACGAACGTTAAGCGTGCGGACCCTACGGGTTCGAGAACTATGTAGACATGACCGAGACACCTCTCTTGTCAATAACCAATAGCGGGACCTGGATGCCCATATTGGCTCCTACATATTCTACGAAGATCTTTATCGGTCAGACCGCATAACAACATACGTTGTTCCCTTTGTCATCGGTATGTTACTTGCCCGAGATTTGATCATCGGTATCTCAATACCTAGTTCAATCTCGTTACCGGCAAGTCTCTTTACTCGTTCTATAATACATCATCCCGCAACTAACTCATTAGTCACATTGCTTGCAAGGCTTATAGTGATGTGCATTACCGAGAGGGCCCAGAGATACCTCTCCGACAATCGGAGTGACAAATCCTAATCTCGAAATACGCCAACCCAACAAGTACCTTCGGAGACACCTGTAGAGCACCTTTATAATCACCCAGTTACGTTGTGACGTTTGGTAGCACACAAAGTGTTCCTCCGATAAACGGGAGTTGCATAATCTCATAGTCATAGGAACATGTATAAGTCATGAAGAAAGCAATAGCAACATACTAAACGATCAGGTGCTAAGCTAATGGAATGGGTCATGTCAATCACATCATTCTACTAATGATGCGATCCCGTTAATCAAATGACAACTCATGTCTATGGTTAGGAAACATAACCATCTTTGATTAATGAGCTAGTCAAGTAGATGCATACTAGTGACATTATGTTTGTCTATGTATTCACACATGTATCATGTTTGCGGTTAATACAATTCTAGCATGAATAATAAACATTTATCATGAAATAAGGAAATAAATCATAACTTTATTATTGCCTCTAGGGCATATTTCCTTCATATCGATCCTTTCAGTTACCCAAGGATGCTGCATAGCTTCTGGAGAACAAGTGACACTCTTTTTCATATTTTCAGAAGAAAGAAATTTAACATTGGAAGGGATGACCGAGCTTGGGATAGCTGAGCTCTGTAGTTCCCCCATCATGAATCCTGCTTGGAAGCGAGAGGTAACTTCTTGATCCTCCTCCATGGCATCTATCCTTTTCAAGTCGGCCTCCATCTCATCCTCCGTTGATGGCCCAAAGTGATAAGCATCGCTGTTTGCTCCTGGACCTGGTGTCGGGTGAGACACCCGACTCTCCCCGACTGACGCTTGAGAAGACATCTTGCTCTAAATCTGCGACAGAAACAGCTCGAAACAAAGACAGAAGATATTTGCACGATACGGTGGTCAAAAACTTCGGGAGATTATATAATGAATTTTTACCGACCAAAAGAAGTATCGTGCAAGAAAGCAGAGTCCGGAAGGCACGCGAGGTGCCCACGAGGCAGGGGGCGCGCCCAGTAAGGGTGGGCGCGCCCTCCACCCTCGTGGACGCCTCGTGTCCTTCCCGGACTACTTATTATTTTCCTATTTTCGTAAATATTCCAAAACGGAGAAAAATTGCTATTAGAACTGTTTTGGAGTTGGTTTACTTACCGTACCACATATCTATTCCTTTTCGGAGTCTAAAACGTTCTGGAAAGTGTCCCTTATGTATTCCTCCGGGGTTACGGTTTCAATAACATTACTTTCAACATTTATAGGATTACCTGAGATATAATGTTTGATTCTTTGACCGTTCACCACCCTCGGACTTGTGCCTTCGAAGTTGTTGATTTTTATGGCACCAGAACGATAGACCTCCTCGATAACGTAAGGGCCTTCCCACTTAGAGAGAAGTTTTCTTGCAAAAAATCTTAAACGAGAGTTGAATAGCAAAACATAATCACCTACGTTAAACTCACGCTTTTGTATCCTTTTGTCATGCCATCTTTTAACCTTTTCTTTGAACAGCTTGACATTCTCATAAGCTTGGGCTCTCCATTCATCAAGTGAGCTAATGTCAAATAACCTCTTCTCACCGGCAAGTTTGAAATCATAATTGAGCTCTTTAATAGCCCAATATGCCTTATGTTCAAGTTCGAGAGGTAAGTGACAAGCTTTTCCATAAACCATTTTATATGGAGACATACCCATAGGATTTTTATATGCAGTTCTATAGGACGCGATATATGCCGCCGTCGCCCTTGTCTTGGTGGGCAAGAAGGCTTCCGGCACCCTTCTTGGGGTTTCTCCCTTGCCCCGGGCCTCATGGGCCCTTGGTCAAGTCCGAGGCTGGGCTCCCTTGGGTGAGCCACCCATGGTGTATGACACCATCAACGCACGTCCCGCCTACCGCAACCGGACCCGCCTGTAAGAGGCGAAGGATGTCGACAAGCGGGTTCGACCATGCCATTGTGCGCGGGGCAATGCGCGGGAGGGCTATCGCGTTCGCGGCTGAAGGAGCCCCATGATGATGGCCCCGGGCGCACCCGTGGTCCACCTGCTATGGACCGCCAAGGTGGGTTGCCCGGGGGTGCACCGTCGTGTAGATGGGATGGCACGGAGAGCCCCGAGGGTCCCCCGTAGCACGTCATCTTGGAACGGAGCACATAGAGGGCACTCTCGCCCGCTAAGCCCTTCCCAAGAGGCGGGTACTCCAGCATCCTTTTTAAGGGTAATGTGTTGGTTGTGCAACATCCACATTCAAATGCTATACACAAAAAAAAAAACTAAACGCCTTCCAATAGATTTTTCTTCTTGCCTCAAAGAGCATGAGAGTCATTTTGACTTGACATCTCATCGTGTCGAAGTATCATTTTCTGATTTTTTTGGCCAAACCAACGTCATGTTGACTATTTAAAATCTTTGACGGCATTTTAACAATTCAAAGGGTCCACCAACCGAGAGGGGCTTGGGTATTCCGTAAAACAATATGCGCCTACCGCGGTTTTCGGTGCGATTCACTTTTGGTCGAGTGACGTTAGCAAGATATATCGATGAGGCTATATAAGTTAAGATACCACTAGAGAAAAAAAAGCCCTCGCGTATTAATCAACTCAATCCCCCTCTCTCGTCCCCCCCGCAACCCGTCGCTCTTCGTCAGGTCCCAACCATGGCGGCTGATTTGGGGGCGCAACCTCACTAGCCGATCTCGTCATTCATCTGGCGTAGCTAGTGGCACACCTAACCGCCCCCCTCCTTCTCTAGCATCTGTATTCCCTATTGGAGTTGTCGTTCTTGTTGCATCTGACCTCTCCAAACATCCCCGTCTCCTACTTGTATACTACGGCTCATCCCTATCAATGGCTGGTGCTTCGTGGAATGGTAAAGCAAGATGAAGGCCATGAGCAAAATCAACGTCAGCTTTGGCGAGGGACAGAGGTAATTCGAACTCTTGCAACCTTGGTTCTAGATCCAAAGCCATATGTTTTGATTAGCATTTGCAACTTTGGTTGGCGAATTGTATCTTCATGTTTTTTTTCTTCGATGCAAGACAGTAGGTAAGGTTGACATCTTGTGGCAAAAGTGTCTATGTTCATGTGCTTAGCCCAAAAGGAAAGGAGAAGAAAACAAAAGGAGAAAGAAACGCAAAATGCTGAGCTGGTAGAGATAGTATTTGCATCACCAGCGTCATAAATGAGTACCGGAAGTGACAAGGAAACCCCAGGTGTTCTCCAAACCGAACGGCGCCGCATCAACAACCTATCGCCGCCGTCCGATCCAGATCGCGCGGCTGGTCGCCAGCGTGACACCTCTCCCCGTCCACGAGGTCCAGGCGGAAGAAAAAGGAGAGATTTTTCCTCCTCCTGGTTATTCACATCGTCTGGTTATTCACATCACATTGAGCAGAGGGGAGAAAATTGCGAGGAGGGGAGGAGGATTCCGAATCGCAGTTGCAACCCAGTAATCCACTCCACCACCGCACGGATTCGATCGCCGCCGCCGCCGCCATCGCGTTCCCCCCACCGCTGTAGGAACCCTCACGGCCGCCGCCGCTACCCTCCCCCTTCCTTTCGACTAGGGTCTCCTTTCGTGCCGCACTGCGAGCTGCTAGGGTTCCCCTCGCCCTCGCCCTCGCCGGTTAGGGTTCCCCCGTTGGCCCCCTCCTCTTCAACGGGGTGCGGGCGGACGCTGGGGAAGAAGGGCGCCTAGGGCCTCGCCGCCCAATGGCTCCCGCCTCAAAGCGGGGCGCCAAGGGCACCAAATGGAACAGAGACCCGCAGCTCGGGGACCTCGTCCTCGCCAAGGTCAAGGGCTACCCTTTCTGGCCAGCCAAGGTCCAGCCTACACTCCTCCCCTGCCTGCTACCTAGGGTTTTCTTCCCCCATAGCGAGCCAGTTCCCTCCCTTTCTGCATCTTTCTTGGCCACATCTCTGTCTGCCTGAATCTTGATATGTCTAGGATACTGACCGTGTGCTTCAGCCTTGGAGGTTAATGCTTCTTATCTATGCAGGTGAGCAGGCCGGAGGATTGGAATCAGGAGCCCACTCCGCGCAAGTTCTTTGTCCTCTTCTTTGGCACCAAAGAGATGTAAGACCATCCTCATGCTCATTACTTACTAGCTCCTTTTGTCGCCATGTTTAACGGTATTCTAACTGCCAATTCTACCGTGGATGATTTATCGGATAAGAGATTTAAGAACGTCCTCGTGCTCATTAGTTACTAGCTCCTTTTGTCGCCATGTTTAATGGTATTCTAACTGCCAATTCTACCGTGGATGATTTATTGTATAATAGATGTAAGGCCGTCCTCGTGCTCGTTAGTTACTAGCTCCTTTTGTCGCCATGTTTAACGGTATTCTAACTGCCAATTCTACCACGGATGATTTATTGGATACATGAATGCCACGCGTCGCCACGCTCTTGATGAATGCGCCACTTCATACTTGCCTTTTTGTGTTTGTATTCTTTACATTTATGGCACAGCCGAGATCATGTGCAGGAGACACTAAAACTCTTTTGTAGTTATTCATACCCAATTTATTGCCTCAAATTCCGCTAAGTTCATCCATTAAGGTATGCCATGTGTGGGTAAGTAGTTACGTATTTTTTGCTTTGGGAACATTACTACTCTGTCTCCTATAGTGACAACACATTTCTTATTGTTGACAAGATGGATTTTACATGTGTACCAGGGAAAAAATAGGACAGAGCGATCATTTGATTCTGATTTAAATAAATGCTTGTACAGCAGAGTTCGCAGTTTTTAATTCTGCCTATTTTATTTTACCTGAGCTTTACTTAATCTGACTTTCGGCTTGGGTGGGTAGATTACTATATGCTAGATGATGCCCCGCGCGTTGCTGCGGGAACCTTGCTAAAAGAAATGCATAAATAGTCGCTGCAAAATCATCTATTTTATTTTACCTGAGCTTTACTTAATCTGATTTTCGGCTTGGGTGGGTAGATTGCCATATGCTACTCCCTCTGTTCCTCAATATTTGTCTTTCTAGACATTTCAACAAGTGACTACATACGGAGCAAAATGAGTGAATCTACACTCTAAAATATGTCTATATACATCTGTATGTGATAGTCCATTGAAATCTCTAAAAAGACAAATATTTAGGAACGGAAGGAGTATATGATGCCCCGCATGTTGCTGCGGGAACCTTCCTAAAAGAAATGCATAAATAGTCGCTGCAAAATCATCTAAAACTAATGGAAGTAAATTAAGCTTAAAAAAATAAAAACACGAAGCATATCAACAACAACAACAACAAAGCCTTTAGTCCCAAGCAAGTTGGGGTAGGCTAGAGGTGAAACCCATAAGATCTCGCAACCAACTCATGGCTCTGGCACATGGATAGCAAGCCTCCATGCACCCCTGTCCATAGCTAGCTCTTCGGTGATACCCCAATCCTTCAGGTCTCTCTTAACGGACTCCTCCCATGTCAAATTCGGTCTACCCCGCCCTCTCTTGACATTCTTCGCACGCTTTAGCCATCCGCTATGCACTGGAGCTTCTGGAGGCCTGCGCTGGATATGCCCAAACCATCTCAGACGATGTTGGACAAGCTTCTCTTCAATTGGTGCTACCCCAACTCTATCTCGTATATCATCATTCCGGACTCGATCCTTCCTCGTGTGGCCACACATCCATCTCAACATACGCATCTCCGCCACACCTAACTGTTGAACATGTCGCCTTTTAGTCGGCCAACACTCAGCGCCATACAACATTGCGGGTCGAACCGCCGTCCTGTAGAACTTGCCTTTTAGCTTTTGTGGCACTCTCTTGTCACAGAGAATGCCAGAAGCTTGGCGCCACTTCATCCATCCGGCTTTGATCCGATGGTTCACATCTTCATCAATACCCCCATCCTCCTGCAGCATTGACCCCAAATACCGAAAGGTGTCCTTCTGAGGTACCACCTGACCATCAAGGCTAACTTCCTCCTCCTCACACCTAGTAGTACTGAAACCGCACATCATGTACTCGGTTTTAGTCCTACTAAGCCTAAACCCTTTCGATTCCAAGGTTTGTCTCCATAACTCCAACTTCCTATTTACCCCCGCCCGACTATCGTCAACTAGCACCACATCATCCGCAAAGAGCATACACCATGGGATATCTCCTTGTATATCCCTTGTGACCTCATCCATCACCAATGCAAAAAGATAAGGGCTCAAAGCTGACCCCTATGCAGTCCTATCTTAATCGGGAAGTCATCAGTGTCGACATCACTTGTTCGAACACTTGTCACAACATTATCGTACATGTCCTTGATGAGGGTAATGTACTTTGCTGGGACTTTGTGTTTCTCCAAGGCCCACCACATGACATTCCGCGGTATCTTATCATAGGCCTTCTCCAAGTCAATGAACACCATATGCAAGTCCTTCTTTTGCTCCCTATATCTCTCCATAAGCTGTCGTACCAAGAAAATGGCTTCCATGGTCGACCTCCCAGGCATGAAACCAAACTGGTTTTTGGTCACGCTTGTCATTCTTCTTAAGCGGTGCTCAATGACTCTCTCCCATAGCTTCATTGTATGGCTCATCAGCTTAATTCCACGGTAATTAGTACAACTCTGAACATCCCCCTTGTTCTTGAAGATTGGTACTAATATACTCCGTCTCCATTCTTCTGGCATCTTGTTTGCCCGAAAAATGAGGTTGAAAAGCTTGGTTAGCCATACTATCGCTATGTCCCCGAGACCTTTCCACACCTCAATGGGGATACAATCCGGGCCCATCGCCTTGCCTCCCTTCATCCTTTTTAAAGCCTCCTTGACCTCAGACTCCTGGATTCGACGCACAAAACGCATGCTGGTCTCATCAAAAGAGTCGTCTAGTTCAATGGTAGAGCTTTCGTTCTCCCCATTGAACAGCTTGTCGAAATACTCCCGCCATCTATGCTTAATCTCCTCGTCCTTCACCAAGGGTTGGCCTGCTCTGTCCTTGATGCATTTGACTTGGCCAATATCCCTCATCTTCCTCTCTCGGATCTTGGCCATCTTATAGATGTCCCTTTCGCCTTCCTTCGTGCCTAACCGTTGGTAGAGGTCCTCATACGCCCGACCCCTTGCTTCACCAACAGCTCGCTTTGCGGCCTTATTCGCCATCTTGTACTTCTCTATGTTGTGTGCACTCCTATCCAGGTATAGGCGTCTGAAGCAATCTTTCTTCTCTTTAATCGCCTTCTGGACATCATCATTCCACCACCAGGTATCCTTATCTTCGCTTCTCCTTCCCCTGGACACTCCAAACTCCTCTGAGGCCACCTTACGAATGCAAGCCGCCATCTTCATCCACACATTGTCCGCATCCCCTCCTTCCTAATAAAAATAAATTACAGTTAAAAGAATGCCGTTTTTAACAAAATGAGCAGGGTGAACTACATAGGTATGCTGCAATTTCCCAAAACATATATTGTCAACATAAAATCTAATGGAAAAATTAACTTATTATGACTAACATGCATGAGTTGATCTGATAGCGCTGCACGTATAGAGTAATGCAAAAACTGTAATTTATGACTTGCATGCACGACTAGCTTATGTGGCATGGTTGCATATCTTGACAAAATAGGTAGTGGGTTGTAGCTATTTATAGGAATAGTATAGAAGATGACTTGCATGCATGACTTGCTTATGTGGCATGGTTGCCTGGCTGGAAAAAATAGGTAGTGGGCTGTACCTATTTAGGAATAGAAGATTCCTATATCTATACTAAAAATCCCTTTGGTGTATAAGTTTAAGTCTTGTGAAATGATCTAAGGTTACACATTGCTGTGCAAGGTCAGTCTAGGAGGTACAGTTCTTCATAGACCGAGTCTGAAAGATGAAAGCAGCACTTTCACTTTTAGTTGATTTATTATGAAATTCTCACTCTATTTCTAGTTTTCAATTATTTGTAAATACTCTTAACCTCTCCTACAGCCTTTCATTTTCTTCCAAATAGCAAGAATGGGAATGTTATTAATTCTGTTGTAACTTGAGCCTGTGCAGCAAACTGACCTACATATTGTTGAGCATGTTATTCTCAATAAATTGTGGTAGGTAATGATCTTTAGACCTCTTTAAATTACTTTGGTGTTAATAGAGCAACTAAATTACTCCACTTGATTGATTCACTCGGTTGCTTTAGCTTATAAGGTACTCTCTACACGGATTATTTCTAATTGCTTTAAAACCGTGTCACCATTTTTGTCTAGATACAATATTGATTTGTTACCCTTGCTGTCTTCCATGCCTGTGTTTTCTTTGCTATTTTGAGCTTATCATGACAACTCTTTAAAGGCTAAAGTAAAAGAATTACTTGATTACTAATGAATGAATATCTCCGACAGTGCTTTTGTAAGCTTGCAAGATCTCCAGCTATTTACAGAAGAGGTGAAGAATGACTTGGTAAATCAAGCTCGAGAGAAAAGATTTCCGAAAAGACATGCGAAAGGTCTTGAAGAAGCCTTGGTGGAGATATGCAAGGCCTATGACGAGCTGCCAAAATCATCTGAAACTGCCAATGATGTGTTGCCTGATCGAACTCTTGATATGAGTGAAAAACCTACAGAATCCCTTGTAAAGCCACCTGATAATGGTGAGACTCCAAGAGTGGATCAAATGGAAGTTGATAGTTCTGTGGACAACTTGAATACTTTAAGGCACGGTTCAGGAACCGAGGAGAATGTGAAAGATGGTGGTCATGACAGAAAGGATATTGTTCCAGCAGTTATTAATAGGAAAAAACCTGTAGAAAAGGATTCTGACCATCCCAAGAAAAAGAAGCCTGTCACATCGAAGTCAGCTACCAACATGCACCTTGAACAAATGGAAGTTGATAGTTCTGTGGACAACTTGAATAATTTAAGGCACGGTTCAGGAACTGAGGAGAACGTGAAAGATGGTGGTCATGACAGAAAGGATACTTTTCCAACAGTTACTAATAGGAAAAAATCTGTAGAAAAGAATTCTGACCATCCCAAGAAAAAGAAGCCTGTCACATCGAAGTCAGCTATCAACATGCACCTTGAACAAGCACGCTCACCAACCTCTCTGTTCTCAGGAAGAGAGACTGAAGACCAGAAAGTTGGGAAAGAGGGCCATCCAACTGAAGGTATGCTTTTGGACCCTACTGTAGAGATAGTTTGTGCCCTTGAAGTGCCAAAGAAAGAAAAACCCAAGATGCAGTTGAAGACTGCTGACAGGGAGGAAAACAAGCATGTCGATGGCACTGGTATTTCTGGGAGGACTACTCCTGAGGCTCTACCTGGTACTGTACCAACCAATAGTGCTGACAAAGAGAGCGGAGGATTTAAAAAGCTGAAACCGATGAAACAATCACTTATGGACAAATCACAGAGAAGGTGCCCTGACAAAGTAATGCTTGACAAGCCTAACAAGCAGTTGACTGTAAAATCACCTGTTGTCTTGTCTTCCAATAAGAAATCTCTACCTGGTAGTGGTCAGCACAAGCTGGAGGGTAGCACTGATATGCGTCCGGCAAAGAGGCCAAAACTAGTAGACAGAGCCAATGAAACAGTTAAGACAGGGGCAAAGAGTGAACTTAGGTTACCTGTTGATAATGGAAAGGATAATTCTGTGAAAAATGAGAAATCCACTTCCGTGGGAGCCAGAAACAACACATTTCCCGAGACTGTAACCACTGATGGTAGGACACGGAAATCAGGTGTAGTTGTATCACCCCTACCAAGGCCGCATTCTGAGCGAATGGAACAGGCACCTGGTTCTGCAACCAAGTTAACTGGTTTTGATACTGCTAAGAAGGGCTCCAGCATGAGGGAGGATGGCCCACGTGTTGGTAGGCCATTGGCACAACCCAGGAGAAGAGCATGTCGTTTCGATGATGATGAGGAGGAAGAACAACGTACCCCACCTCATAAAACTGTGGCCAAATCAATCTCCACTCATGTAACCCCAACAGACAAGACCCATCAGACAGGTATTCGGGGGATTCCTTCATCACAAGTTGGCAATGTTTCTGCAAAAAAATCTGGTTTGGCAAGAGAAGAGAAACCCAGAAGTGTTGGGAGGTCACCTGTGAAGCATGAGCCAATTTATTCACCAAGTCAAGGTAAAGTGCACGCTAGACCACAAATGACTGGGCGAAAATCGGCCACTATCTCAGTTGACACTTCTTCTGCTTTGGGTAACAAGATTAACCCGGCAGATCGCAAATCCTCCGACCAATTAAAAAATCCAGGATCATCTGAAGTGAAGAAACCGCAAGGTAGTTCTTCTAAAGTAGTGCAGCAGACATCTGGGAACTCCCACTCTCAAAGCCATGCTACCTTAGAAAAGAATGTACTTCTGTCTAAATCAGAAAATGCCAAGGTTAAAGCTAAGCCCAGCACACAGATAGCTATGACTGCCGAGAATAAGTTAAGTGCCACTTTGTCAGATGAACGAAGCGGGAAGCTGGATCACTCTAAAGAGGACAGGTATACTGCTTTGAATTTGCTAAGTTTCTTTCTTATGTTTTGTTTGTCTACGTTTATACATGTTTAGCTATGCACTTTGTTGATGTTGCAATTTCCTCTTATGCAGATCAAATTTTGTTGATAAAGCAGATTTTGCTGAGTCTAATGCTGACTCTGACAAGTCAATTAAGCGTCTTATTGCAGCTGCTCAAGCAAAGAGAAACCATCTTGCTTCTGGTCAAGGAAATTCTGATGGCTCTTCTGCAGATAATGCTGTTCTTGCTTCCGCAGCGTATGGCTTGCCTGGACTAAGTCCTAGTCCTGTCTTTCACATTCCGTCTGCATCAAGAAATGCTATTTCAGAGGGTGACATCATGCAATCTCAAGATTCCATCTGTGAACCTGGTCATCGAGTTGATCTGAAAAAGCCAGCAGAAACTGACCATGAACATGAAAAGAGTCCAAAACCTAAGCAATCCAGCGGTTCACTGGGTGGTGGTACTGATGCAGCAATTGCACGTGATGCCCTGGAGGGAATGATAGAGACTCTGTCGAGGACAAAGGATAGTATAGGTCGTGCTACACGTCATGCAATCGAGTGCTCGAAACATGGCATTGCTGAAGAGGTACCCCCTGCACACCCACACACACATGCATTCATAGACACACACATTTTTCGATCATGTACATTCATTAATCCACATGCCATCAGCATTGCCTTTTCATCAGAAGCAAAGTACCCTTATTAATTAATTCATTATTTGTCATCAGATTGTTGAGCTTCTCATAAGGAAAATCGAGAATGAGCCCAATTTACATCGCAAGGTTGATCTCCTTTTTCTGTTAGACTCCATAACACAGTGTTCTCACTCTCAGAAAGGTAAGTTCTCTTTGTATTATGTTGCACCAGTTCACAGAACTATGCGTTTCCTTAAGCCCAAGATTTAATTACCTGATTTCTGAATGCTTAGGCGTTGCTGGGGCTTCATATGTTCCCACTGTTCAAGCTGCATTACCTCGTCTTTTGAGTGCTGCTGCTCCACCTGTAGCTGGTGCTCGTGAAAACCGACGCCAGTGCCTCAAAGTACCAACTTTAATTCTAATTTTTGAGTTGTTATTTCCACAGACGATTTTCATTTCTATCCATTTGCTTTGTAGGTTTTAAGATTGTGGCTAGAGAGAAAGATTATGCCAGAAAATGTACTGCGAAAATACATGAATGACATAGAGGTGCCAAATGATAACACACACGCTGGTTTCCTGCTCAGGCGACCGTCCCGAGCTGAGCGTTCTGTTGATGACCCTATTAGGGAGATGGATGACATGCTTGTTGATGAATATGGCAGGTATTTTGTGATCTGATAACTTATATACTCCCTTTGTCCTTTTTTGTTTGATGTTTTAGAATCGTTACAAGTTACAATTAAACCTGACCACCAGGCCACCATTATATGGTTAAAACTCTCAAGGGAAGGTACAGAACTATGTACTAGCTTTGTCATCGGAAGTTATTGCTCTATTTAATTTAATATAATACTAATAGGAATAGGAAGTTACATAAAGGGAAGGCAAAATGGTCAAAGCCACATTTGGTTTTGGATACAGAAGTCAAAACATAAAATAGAAAAAGAACGGAGAGCAGGGGGTACGTACTAGCTTTGTAACACGGTATAACTTCCGTTTAATAAAACTCAGTATAAATGGTTTTATTTTGTGGCTGAAAGTTATAAGTTTGTACGATGGGTCTCTTAACAAATATTTTAAATCTATATAATGAGTACCACTTAATAAACCACTTCAGAGCATCTCCAGAAGACTACATCCAATATAGGGCGAGCGAGTCCTTATATAATGCGAGATCACTGTTTGTGCTCTTCCACCAGCGGACTACCAATATCTCCACCCTATTTTCTTGTCTACATAGATAATGGCCAGTGGAACCCACCCATCATTGGGTCATAGTTTTTCCTTTACTTTTCACCCGCAGCGCCCGTGCAGGAGCTCACGATGGTTGAGCTTGGAGACGGGTGGTGGATGGCAGATGGCGGTGGCGGGTGACCGAGGCAGGTGGTGCAGCAGAGGTGACTGAGGGGGCAGTGCGGGCGGCCGTGGCTCCGCTGGGGGAGGCGGGCGGCGGTGCAGTTGACATGATGTTATGGGCTTTGAGTTCTGTGCAACAGCCGTGTTGCAAGACCACAAGCCACAGCGGCAGTGATGTGGGCTTGACAAGTGTGCATGCTCGCGGCCTTGTATGGGCATACGTGGAGGTATAGGATAGGTTATGTTAGAGGAAGTAAGAGTCGAGCAAATCAAGTTATATCCATGTTGGGCCTGGCTGGGTCTTTTAAGTTTAGGAAGATATAGTTATTTGTTTGGTCAAGAGTCTAGTTGTGATCTGGCTTGCGAATCAAGTCACTTGCCTAGATAAAGGCTATGTGTATTAATTACTGAACGAAGACTCAACAGGTCAACTAAGCTTCAGAGTGTCACTACCATGATGGTGATTAGGCCCTGTGATGGTTAGATGAGGTGAATACCCTACCCCTGGTCTTTGGACCCTTATCAAGATCCATGACACATGAATCCGTTTCACTGATACTTTTCATTTTATAAGAAAGCTAGTAAACTCAGCAGTCTCTGTGTCGCATAGGCAGATACATGTTCTGCTCAAGACATAAATCGAGGAACTATGTTTTATAGTTACCTTGTTGCTGTTCTGTAAAATCATGTACGACCATATCTGTATCGTACTTGTAGTATTTTATGAGAATGTCAGTGCCACATGCTTTGACCACAGTAAGGCCCTTAGGTACTCTAGGGACCTTCATCTTGTTCAGATAATCCAAGTTCGCCAGCTGATTTTATTCACCTACCTCTGTGCTGGAACTTATGAAGTGGTGTTCCTTGAGATTTTAGTGGCCGTATGTGTGGTATCATCTTAATTCAACTCATTGCTGACATATGTTATATGTTTTTTTGTGGTTTGTGCAGTAATACAACTATTGAGTTCTCTGGAATATTATCATCAAATGTCTTTGTAAATGATGAGGATTTCCCTCGGATTGATGGGTCGTTGCCAGTTATTTCACTGCGAGTTGGAAGGGGTGGGATACAAGAAAGTGAAGAGATTATTGCTCCAAACTCTGTCGAGGAACACATGACAGTACTAGAAAGTGCAACTAGTGATGCTGTAATGGAAGATGCTTCAGTTTTACCAAGAAACAGTCAACAGATAGAGGGATCTGCCCTCATTGAGCATGATTCTAAGCAGGAAGCAGGTTCAGAGGAGGCATTGACTAATCAGTACGAGCTTCCCCCTCTACCTGAGGGCCCTCCACCTCTTCCACTGGATTCACTACCTCCCCAGCCTTTACCTGAGGGCCCTCCACCTCTTCCATTGGATTCACCGCCTCCCCCACCTCCTTTGCCCCCTTCACCGCCACCTGCTACACCACCTCCGCCGCCACCACCACTTTCACCATCTTCACCACCTCCACCGCCACCCCTGCCATCTGGGCCACCTCCGCAGCCTGCTCCACCACCTCCTCATCCTTCAATCCCGCCACCTGTTCTGTCATCTCCATCATCACTGGGTTATCAGCATGCCATGCCAGAATATTTTAGGCCTCCCAATGTAATTTTTTTCAACATACTTTATTTAGCAGGTCCTGTTGTGTTCTTGGTTTAATAATAAAGATTTTTGGATGCAGGGTAACCAACTAACAGGAAATTCATCAATTCAAGGTGTTGGAAATACACCAAACTTTATGCCTGCTGGACCAGTGAATGCACAAGCTCCAGTTAATTATGCCCCATCATTGCCACCGGATTATGGAAGCAACAATATCTTTCTGCCACAGCAAGCTTCTAATGGTAATTACCAGTTTCAGCCTGGTGTATCTTTTCATCAAGGGGCTTTCAGTGCTTTCCCGTCGGCACAAACACCACCAGTTCACCCCCACAATCATCACACACACATGAACCCCATGGGCCAACAATCTGTACCACCTCCATGCAATTCTTATGGTGTACAGCCCTTTCCAAATAGTCAAAGCCAGTATACATCGGAAGAACAGTGGCGAATGACATCTGGTAACTTCAGTCCAGATGACCAGCATAATACTTGGTTACCAGGTGGCAGATCACTATCTTGTTCAGATGGGTCATTCATGCAGGATGGTATGTTTGCCTGTAACCTGGTTTATGTATCTTATATTTGAGAAACTTGAGATGATAATGATTCACTTTTCTGATAGGATATCCGAGGTCGAACATCGACAGATCTTCAATGAATCAAATGAGTCATCAACATGCTGTACTTAACCATTTGCCGTCTGGAGCACCACATCCAGGTTTTTGGCTTCTTAAAGTTCACATTGTCACTATTTTTTCCTTCTGATAGCTTGTGCATTCAAATGAATCTTAATGAAGCTTAGTAAGATCCATCGATAACCAGATACCATGTACCCCATTGTGCTGTGATGCCTCCTTGTCAACTAATCTTGTGAATTTTGTTAAATAATCATTTCATGTATATAAGCTATATCTTTCCTTTTTTTAAATCCTTTTGTTTCTATTCTTGTTTTTTTGACAGGCCATGTTGTTCCTCACATGCTGCCAGCCAAGCCTGATATTCATGCACTTAATTGCTGGAGGCCTTCTGGATGAACCTGTATAATTAACTCTGCGGTAATCTCCTCTCTGTTGATACTTTGTATCACTTTTCTTATTTGTCTCTTTGTTATCTTCACGGATCTTTAGATTAGTTGTCTACGACACTTCCGTCTATCTAGTACTGCAGTTGAGTTGACTTCCTCAGTTCTTCACATACAGGTTGTGACATGGGAAATTGGAGACGTTGGGAGCCATTTTAAATGGGGATTCAACAAGAGGTGCTTATGTTAGCCTGTTCTGCGATGAGGATGCACTTTTGCCTGGGGAGTAATGATGAGATCTGGTGTTAGTAATTGGAATGGACATTTTACATTGTAATTAGTCTTGACAGCAGCATCCAACAGACTAATCTCTTAGTGTAAGCGCATGTTTTACATGAGACAAGTACTCTCTTGTTCATTTAGATGTTGCTTTTGGTGTGTTTCTTTGAGGAGTGCAAACTGCAGTTAATGTATTTTGCTCAGACGGCGTGTTAGACATAAGTATCAGTTCTTATAGTAAAATATTGGGAACTTATATATACAAGGGCATACTGATGGTATCTATGGCACTTTCTGCTGTTTGCTGTACTTGGACTGTTGTGCCTACTGTGCAACACATATCAAATTTCACGTAGACAAATCTAAGTGAAAACAAAAAAGCTAAAGTACTGTGCTTACTCTTGTTCTCTATGCACTGCGACTTTGCTCTTTAGATAAAATTATATATCTCCTATCCAGTTATGTGTTAGCAGACAAGGCTAAAACTATGGGTTTATGCGGACATCATTTGAGTTTCCATAGATTTGTTGATATTGCTGTATGCTGGTATTCATTTCCTGGAAATTATCTGGTGCCCTATTGGGCGTTTGTGATAAATTTTGAGCCATTCAATTGTTATTTATAGTTCCATGGATGCATTGCATGCAGTATAGTACAGATATGCCCAATTTGTCCACACCTTAGACCTCCTGCAGTGGGAGTATCATAGCTAGTATCATGCATGCCAAATAAGCATTTTTGGTGAGGTGGCATAGAATTAAATGAAGAAAGAGAGGATTGAGTATCATATCATGACACCATATCATAATAAATGCTATGCTACTATATGTCATGCATGGCAATAAATAAGGTCATCTAAGATACTAATCTATGATGCAATGCGTTGTGGAGGTAGTATCATATGTATGATACTAACTTCCGATACTACCCACTGCGGGAGGTCTTGCTATCACCAATATTAAATAAGCACCTTTCCATGCAATGCTTGTCTTTTTTCATTTTCTAGTCTATATTTCCGATATATTGGCCCTTCAAATTCTGTGTGCATGTATGATATATACTGCATCATAGACATTTCAAATAGTGCATCCTGCTCTTGAAGAAATGAATGTGTGGTGCCCATAGGGACAGTAAATATGTATTTGTTTCCCAAAAAGATGCACTAGTTATAACTCCTGTATAAAGTTGGTCTTCAGTTATCTAGTCTAAGTAAACAGTGCAAATTTACAGTACAACTTGCATTGAGAGAAGTAGTTTAATGGAAATAAAATAGGCATACAAGGTACTCCCTCCGTCCCATAATATAAGAACATGTTTTCTTATATTATGGGACTGAGGGAGTAGATTCTTAGTTTTGAAGTGGCAATATGTGTTCCTGGTGTTCTTATGTGATTCATAACCATGGAAAACTGATCTTTTAGAAGTATATAAATCAGTGAGAAACTGGGAATTATGAAACTTTAGAAATTCTGCCATGTATCTTCTGATTTTGTCCTCCTGAAAATTTCCTGTGATGAGCATTATTTCCAATTAATATTGTGGTTATTTTCCAGTGGACTTTCAAGTATTTTTGTATTCGTACGAAGCGGGTAGTTGGTACTGGGTAGTTAAAAAGGACAACAAATTGACTGAATCCTGGGAGTTATAAAATTTAGGAACTGTAGTGTGTGTCTTCATGCTTCAGATCTGATTTTTGTGCTGTTCTATTTTTCCATGATGTATATTGACTTTCTCATAGTATTTTTTATTCCCACGAAGTTGGTAGCGGGTGCTGGGTACTATTATCCCAGTGATACACAGATTTGTCTAAATTCTGTACACAGTTGCTCCTTCTAGTTTATATGTGCAAATTAAAAATAGATATTCTTTTTCTTCATTTGTCAAATTATACATGTCAAGTCGCAGAAAGATTATTAAACTCTGACAATATTTTATGTTTTGAGTATTAATTTGTTGAATATAGTTCTGTAGTCTGTGGGCGATTGATTTGAGTATGTTTTGACTGACTTGTTTCTGAGTGATCCTTTGAACTTCTTGAACACTAGAATTGCTGCTTTCAGTTTTATGTATGCAAAAAGGAAATATACATCCTCTTTTTTAGGTCAAATTTGTTACATGTATCCATGGGAGATTAGTTGAAGCTTCAAGAGTACTTTGGTTGGTGTGCGTATGATTTCTGTAGTCTGGGGAACGAATGGTGTGAACATGTCCGGTGCTGTCTTATTCGTGTTTAAGGCATTAATCCAAGGTCCTTTGTTTGGTCTCTTTTAATTCGGTGGCTGCACTACTTGCTGATTTTAGGGTTACAGCAATTGAAAATTCGTTTCTCAGCCTGAAATATAGTTTCATAATTGATCACTGGTCGACTAGAGTTTATTTAGCTTAAAATCTGGTTGGCTGCAAGGCTGCCAGCTGATCATTGCACACGCCTTTTATGGCTGGACTGCTTATGGGTATGGGTGATTTTGCATGTATGTGCTATATTGTCTGAAAAATTACCCTGTCTGACTAAAATTTCTGTTGATATGGCAGGTCTGGAAACTATACAAGTCGGGCGGCGTGCGTCATGATGTGGTTGCGATGGCTGTTACCTGTTGGTGGAGTTGAGGGGAGCTCATGTGGTGAGTCGAGTGTTTTCCTTTTACCTGAGGGGATGGATGTTGAGTGCTTAGTTTGTAGAGGTAAGCCTCAATGAAGAATTGTACAAAAGAGATACTCAATGTACAGCTTTTTGGGCAAAACTTTTAAAAGGGAAGTTGATGTATATGTTGTTATGCGTAGCGGTAGTCCCTTGGCACAAGCTAGGGATGATAGATGTTGCTTCATTGTTTTGTTGGACAAAATGGAAGAAAGAAATGTTGTGATGGTGAGTCGAAACCTGGGGTGCAAAGGGTGGCCGTAGCTCATGTTTTCCTGTGATGGTTCATCTTTCTGGAAAAGGGAGGCATGCACCGCACAGCAGGTTGTTATTAGTATTATCAGTAACTGTGCGGGATGATGTTCCGTTGGACCGTAGCCGTGTCGATTCGGTTAGGGTACAAGAAATATATATTGCCCTGGTGGTTATTGTAAGCAGGATGTGTGGAGGTGTATGTTTATTCAGTGAAGTGTTTGTTGTTGTTGTTGAGATGGGGACAGTGACTGTAGAGCACCAGCTGCTGCATCTGCATCTTCATATGGGTAGTTAAATAGCGAATGGAGGGGGCATTCAGATCATGCCTGAATAATCTATCTACATGCTGCGCTGTGAGGAGTACGTAGTAGAATTAGTGCTTTCCAAGGTAATCTTGTGTTGAATGCATGCTCTGTATCAACCAAATCCCATTCAGGATTTGGGTGGGACGGCCGCATTCACGCCAGGCAGATCAGGCAGGCGTGTTCTTGGCTGCTGCCGCAGATATCACGAAGCCGAACCATCCATCCCAATGATTAGGGACCCTTGCCTATTTTGGGCAGATACCATTAACAAGCAAGGCAGTCGCACGCCTATACACATTTTGTTAAGAAAGTTTTCTATACGAAGAAATAGATAGAGTATACGATATTAATACGCATGCTTGTCTTGCAGAGAGAAGAAAAGAAGAGATTGCTTTTTTCTTTCATAAAAAGGTTCTATAGCAGGAGGCAAGAGATAGAGTATGATATCAACAAGCACACCTTTTCTTATCTTGCCGTTATAAGAAAACATATATAAAGTATGTTATCAATACGCATACCTTTTCTTGTATGTAGATAGATAGAGAAATAAAATGATTTAAAAATAGGATAGAAAAAAAACAAAGAGGAGAAAATCAGCAGCAGCCCAGCACCGTAGCAACAGCAGCAGAGTCGGTCCGGTCAGGTCCGGTCCGGGTCCGGTTGGGTCCGGTATATTCCTTCGCGTTTCCTCTCACCTACCAGCTCCTCCTCCCTCTCTCTCCCCGTCACCCACCCTCCCCCCTCCCCATTCCCTCTCTCTCCCCACCTTCCCTTCCGATTGTATTTGACAGACGCCCACGCAGAGAGCGAGACGCACACAGAGACAGACAGACAGACAGAAAGAGAGAGGGCTCCTCCCAATTCCGCCCGCGGCCTCCGTCGATCGATCCACCCATCCGCCGAGAGTGGGATCGGAGCGGCAGCTCCGCCCTCCCCTGCCGCGGCGGCCACCGTGCGTGCTACTCCACCCCTCTCCCTCCCTCGCTTTCCCCTCCCATGCTCCGATTAATTTTCCGCCTGCTTTGGGGATTGCTCTGCTTCGCTTCGCTTTGCTACGGACGCTGCGTGCGCGTGCGCGGGGCGCGGCCGATCCTGCGGATTCCTGCGCCAGCTCTAAATCTCCACGCTAGGTTTTGCGCTTCGCAATCGATCCGAATCCCCCCCACACCTTCGATGAGTGCGATGGGTGCTGCGATCCGTATCTCGTTCCTTGTTAGGCACGCCGATTTTTCTTTTTTTTGATCTGCGAGGGCCGCCTGCTCCGCCAGCATTTCGTGCCCCGTCCTGGATCGCCTCGCTCCAGCTTCTTAATTCCCTCGTTATTGATTGGTTAGGGCTGCCATCTACGAATTTACTTTCCGTGCTTGCCTTCTCCACTTCCGGCCGCACGGATTTAATGCTTGCTTGCTTGGTTGATTGATTGATTGCTTCTCGTGATTCACGCGGAGTGCTACTTTTGCTTGCCACATCGCGAACAGGCAGATGCTGGATTGGATTTGCTGCTGCTGCCTACTAGCTTTACTTTCTCAGCTTCACTTGGAAACTT